AGTCCCACCCAGATGTTGATAAAAAGGTCAGGCATGGACAAATTCAAATATGCCCAAAATGTTGTACATTTGTAGTTCAAGTTTTTCTCTGCCACGTATAAATGTCACATGGGTATTGGATGTCAGTTCTAGCCATTGTCCAGCGGGTTTTTTAATGATGATTTTGAATTTTGAAATGTCCCATTGTAGCTGTAACAGATCCAGCAGGGGTGTTAGAGTACTATATATATAGCTAGCTAACCTGTCCCGCAGTCAGATTTGGCAACAATTGCAAGGGCAGTTTCAACATTCAACTAGCCTAAGCTGTATTTTATTTTTGAATATTAATTTTGAAACTTTTAACCATTCCTGATGCGAAACTTATCAGCTTTTGGTGTCTGAGGAATTGTGTACATGCACCAAGCTAAAAAAAAAGCATGAAAATAAAATTTGGTCTAAAACTTACTACCTGAGGCTAGTTGTGCAGAGTGGTATATATGGTTATATATACCCTGCCCTCTCCTGATAAGGGTAAGTAGCTAGGGTATTGTTTATTTTGCCTGAGGTTACGATGCTTTTATCTATCCTGATCTGTGATATAAAGTTGCCCTTAGATCTAGAACGGACAGCGATAACGATTAACCAACGTGGATGGCCCCACCTGTCCTCTACTCACCTCACGCTAATCCGGAACAATGTCAACAAATTGGGACCTTGACCTTGCTCCCAGCTGCATTGTTGTACCAAGCTACAGGTTCAAAGATAAAGTTTCAAGGTACATACATAGTACATGTAACCAGCGAATGTAGGCCACCTCGGCTACTCTGGACTGCCATGTGGTGCGTTACAGTTATTTACTGTGTAACATGTACTAGACCAGTTCAGCAACTGCACATTTATTTTGGTTGTTCCTGAATACCGTGGGACAACTATTCTGGCCTATAACATGGTATATATAACCACTCGGATCATGTTTCATTTCCCAGTTATTATTGTGTCTCTATTAACCAGAACACAAAAGTTACTTAAAAAATATAGATCATATGGGATAATCCAGAAGTGTTCTGAAAGTGTGCAGTAGTCTGCTGGTGTGCATTTATATTAGTTAGCTTGTTCTGAAATGTGAATTTTGGTCAGATGTGCAGTCTTTCAAGTTTACAGAAATTTAGAGAGAAAATCTGCAAACATACTTGACATATACATACAATGTACAGTATAACTATATATAGCTAGATTATTATATAGATAATAATATAAACACACACACATGGTGTACACTTTAACACTTGTTTCATTTACAGTCCAAACTAGGGCAGTCATCAACTTGTTCTACAGATGTTGTTTGAACTCCATGATCAGCAGCGCAAAAAGGAAAACTTTATTAACTTGTTTCTCAAATCTCGTACAAATGAAAACTCGACTCATGAAAGTTTTTTTGTATTCATCCTGCAATGCGTTGCAATGAAGGCCTTGTCAGGGAGCACAAACATAATCTCTCTGCTCAAAGTGTGTGTTTGTGGGATCGGAGGGGCGGGGCCAAAATAATTCCACGAAATAGCATTTACTGGCATTTCTACTGACCTGCAATAGATGTGGGTGGGCTTGTTACCAGGCATGGGCTTATTGCCAGATAAATACGGTAATGTACATACACAATTGCCTATACACCAGCTTTACTGCATGCATGATCATTAGATCACCCCATGGTGTGTTGACTGGCCCAGTTTCTGGATAAAAAGATACAATGTATGTAGCTACTAATAATAGCTGTTGTATCTACTACTGTTCCTGTCTGCTGGGGATATATATGTGTATAGTATGTTCATCACACTTACATTTAATAGTAATATACCATGTCCAAGATCATGATCACAAACTTGCCCTCACTTGCCAGTGGAATCCTTACCATTTATATATACTATAATATGTGCCGGTATAGGTACATTCTATGTATGTACTACCTACCCGAAGTGTCTCAGTGTTGCTAGAGTGGGCTTCACAATGTACTACCGCTGATGTATTATATATCTTGACTCATTCACCCCTGAAATTTTATAATAAATTATTCCAACCTTTGAATTGGAAGAGTTCAAATGTGTCTTCAGTGATGAATGAGTTAATAGTTGTTCCATTTCACTGTATACAGTTGTATGTATATATCCCACTAGCTTGTGAAAAGCATTTCTATATCTCCTTAACCATTGAAGACCAAGGTGTATTACTGCAGTAAACTGTGAAATTGTCGTCGCAGTTCAACTTTCACCTTTTTCTCACTTCCAAATGAGTGCGAAATTTATCATGACAGTAAATATTAGTAACCAACATGCAATTTATAGTTATTACATTTGAATGGCAAAGTTACACTTAGCAAACATGGATTTTGTCGGCAAAAGGTGAATAATTGACTGTGCGAAAGGTTCAAGGTTTACATTATTGATCTCGCTTGCCTGTAGAAAGTGAACTATTTCTCTTAGCTGTCGAAAAGTGTCGCTACCTCAAGCTCTTGCTCACTACCTGTTGATGACAGTGTATTATCTTAATGTTTCTCACTAGGTAGTGAAAAGTGTATTGTAAAGTCTGGCCACACGGTCATACGATCATCATGTGACATTTTCGTTTGGTATTATACTTTTATTCTAGTGATGAAACGCCCTTAATTTTTGTGAAGTCTATAATGTAAAACATGAACAGCAGTTACATATGTTTGGTGTTATATTTAGCCTTTGGAACAATTCTTGAAGTTGGAATTTGAAATGCTTTGGCAATATGCCCTATCACAAAATAGATTTCAGTTACAGAGCCAGACCTTGATGATACAAATAGCTGTCGTGGTACATGTCTGTAACCTTTGATTTCCTCTATAGAGATAGTGTTACGGAGTATAGAGATAGTGTTACGGAGTATAGAGATAGTGTTACGGAGTATATAGTGTTACGGAGTATAGAGATAGTGTTACGGAGTATAGAGATAGTGTTACGGAGTATAGAGATAGTGTTACGGAGTATAGAGATAGTGTTACGGAGCTGCATGGCCTACGTTAGTCTGAGACTGATTTACCTGCGGATGTGATATGTGCCACGCTTTGATAAAAACTTTTGAAAATTGATCTGATGGAATGAAGTATGCATAAATCTTTTCATCACCTTTATTTATAGAAACTTTCTTTTCAAACCTGAGTTTCTACATATGAGATTGAGAGACTATTAAATTAAAGATAACAATTTACAACAGTATTTTTAACCTGCACTTGATGTGGTACTGTAGATCCGTATAATTGTCCGTAGTTAAACGCACCTCAAGCTCTAGGATAATCCGATACCATGTCCTAACAAAAAAACATCACTTTTACATTGTTGACATTTAAAGACTATTTGATGTACTGCCAGTAAAAATACTGAATACCAGGAATTTTTCGTCCAGTCAAACCTTTGTTGGTATATAATCCATATTCGCCAAGTGATTATTTCACCCTTCACATTTAAATACTATGTAAACAATGCTGTTTACTACTGTTCACTGTAATGATGAATTTGCCTTCATTACAGAGGGCAAAAAAGACAGAAATTAAACTCAACCGAAAGTTTCCCTGCATACAGCACATTTCTCAATATATTTTGTCTAATTTACTTTCTTTGGCTTCTTGAAAAATAATCTATTATAATTTAGACAATGAACTTCTTGATTGTTGTTTTCAGAAATACACCAAAAAAAAATCTGAATCAAAAGCCATTGTCAGGTTCTTATGGTAACAACAGCCAGCATGATAACCAACAAATAAAACGCACAGGAAAATCCAAAGAGGCCATATCATTGGTGGATCTCCAAATGTGCAGTACTATACAAGTTATGCAGTACTATACAAGTGGGATACATGCTGACGAACGCTTTAATTACCACCCCTATAAAACTGGGATCTAACCAGCAACAGGAAGTAACCTAGATACCTGAAATCTGCCCCCAGAGCGTTCTTAAAACCTGCATGAAATGTTACAATTAAATGCCATTTGAGTTAACGTTGCTTAGGGACCTCTTAAGGAGCTGTGAGCAGAGATATAATGCTTTGTTCTAAATGACCTGGTGCAGGTCATGTACCAGTACAGAATGTCGGTACCTGTTCATACATGTATAGTTCTACACAGGCATGCTTCTCTTATCCTTTTAATTTAATTTACACTCAATGGATTATATCATTTGGTGTTTCAGGATCCCCGTACCATTGTCATGACTGTAGCTTTGATAAATTATTTTAGAAGAAAACCATACCTTGTAGGACTTCTATGAGAAATAAACAAAATATATTCAAACAGCATTCTTCTGAGTGTATAAAAAGGTTGTCGGGCCTAACCGGGATTTAAATCCTGGTCTTCAGATTGATATACAATAACATTAATTGATTGAGCTACCTGGTCAACAGGAGTGTCCTGGCCCATTGCAACTGTGCTTCGAATTCAGTTCTTCCCAAATGGAAGTTAATATAAGGGGAGGTAACTTAATGTATAGGAAAAAACACCGAGTGACAGGGACCCTTAAATATAACCTAGAATGGGACCTTTGTCCTTTATCGACTATATTGTCACCAGATTTCATATTACTGTGGTGTAACTTTATAAGCAATGTTGTGTAGTATAATATTCATGTTGAATAGAGAAAACTGTAATGAATATATCGGTCGAGATAGTAACTTGTTGGAGTCATCCCAGTTCCCTGGCCTCAATATAGATATCATTTATTCTTTAGAATCAACCTCAAATTGAGCTTTACCTATATTTAATACTAACAAGGAAATTTCAGCTCAAACTGTGTTTAGGGCTGACTCGAGCATTGGCAAAAATTGGGTCAATTTAAGTTTTCATATAAATTAAATAATACCAATAATATTTTGGGCACAAAATTGAATAAGCGATAGGTCACCCAGACAAATTTTCAAAAAAAAATCCCAAGGTCATGACCACAGTTTTCACTTTAGATCTGCATAGGTTTGTGAAACCACTTTTATTACCAAACATTTTGCTTTGTTCCAGGTTTTGTTCATTCTGCCTACACGTTTGGTATAGAGAGCCACATCAGCCAATCCAACATAAATGGGGCCCTCGTGCCTCCCGCAGCTCTCCTCAACATTATACAGAAGGGTCTCCAGTACACGGAGGCGGAAATCAGCATTGGGGAGGTAGGTACAGACATCACTTGCCTTTCCAAGTCACGATCGGCCAACATCAAAAGGGAAATCTCCTTGCTACTACTGTATATCATTTAAATTTTGCAAGATACATATTTTTGTGATTCTCTAAATTCATCAGTTAGAGTATCTTAGTAATTCATTTTGTATTTGCTTTAAGAAAGAGCATAGTATAAGAAAAATAACAAATTGACAAGGGGGATAACTCTGTTATTTATTTGTACACCCCTAATCTAAGGACTTCTGCATAAAAGAATCTCTGAAGTTCATAATTGTGAAGATCGGGGCACCCGGTATTGGTCTCAGCGGTCAATACAGTTATTTCGGTGTTGTATTTCCAGGATGGTTCGGAAAAAGTGATTGAATCACTGTCACTGATTGATGCTGTGATGCCTGATGTGGTGGAGTCCCGGAAACAGGCGGCAGCCAAGGCCCACATCAAAACAGCGGAGACGCCCAACACCAACGGGGAGGAGCCCTCCCACGCACTCAGTAAGTGTAGCAAAACTGAGCGGCTTAGGCATCTCACACTCTTGCTAGGGACTGGCTGCAGTTTGGTGGTATTTCTCCGGTGGCTTTCCTCCACCAACAAAACCTCGCACGTCCTTAAATGACCATGGCTGTTTATTGGATGTAAAAAAATAAAAACCTTCCCTTACATAAAATACATCAAAACTGTTGATATGACCCAACATTGTCCTTATGAAAACTAAACAAAAAATCAATTTAAAATATTTGGTTTCGAATAACTCTGTATCTGATGAATGACAACACCAGATTCACGGAATAGTTCACCTTAGCTCTATGTTGTTTGGGTAGAATGTAATGAAATTGTCCGCTGAAACACAAGAATTGGGTCGATTTTTCTCCAGGTCATTGATGCAACCTTTTCTTTGGTTGGGAATTGTTTTTCTCGCTTCAAAATCTATGTCACATGACTCTGCTCATAGCAGTTCAAATGTTTCACTGGTTTCCTGAAAACTAAAATAACAGATCTGTACATTTTTGTTTTACTTCCTGAAAATGGAGATGTGTTTTGGTGTGCTGAAGAAAGAGTTTTTCTGTTGTGTTGAGAGTGTATGATTTGGATACTTGTTTATAATGACATCAGGCTAAAATAAAAGAAACACTAAGTATATTATTGTCCTGGCTTCTGGGAAATTGCATTACTAGGTTGGATAATACAATAATTAAAACCACTAAAAGGCACATTTTCTTTAGTAATTTGTCTGACCTGCATGATTGAATCCAATTTTGGATTGAAGCTAGACATCATCTCTAAGGCATAAAAAATAAGATTAGTTTTTGTTTAACCTTGACCTTTAATTTATATCCAATTCAACAACCCTTACCCCAACAATTTTATTACAGTTATATATTTTCATGTATATTTATTTTCAAACTTTGATGCAAATTGAAAATCATTAAAGATGACCAGAAACAAATTCATTGTTCTCTATCTAAATTTGGCCAGTTTGCAGAGAGCTCAATATTGTTATATATATATACACTTCCTGTTGAACAAAAATGTGTTGCAATTATCAATTTTGTTGATGCCTTTTTGTCATGTTTTTAGCAGTAACAGCTATTTAAGACCGATAACCTTTTACACGGAAACTACTGTTAAACTTTTTTAAAGATGTGTCTTGTTTCATTATTCTCATATGTCTTGAACAACCTATTGATTACTTGGAGTGTTAGCCAGGGTACCTTGGTTTCTGAACAGACCATGTAGCCAAATTGTTAATGGGGCTGTAAGGGGGCTCTAAGGGGGCTGCGGTGGCCAAGTGGTTAAGGCGTCGGGACATTCTGATCGACATTGCGTCACACGACATTCGGACATACCACTATAGCTAGCCATCCATAACTGGGTAGTGGGTTAGAGACCTACATTTGGCAGTCACAAGGTACTAGCCTTAGGTCGGTTGTTTTACTCCAGGAACACCTGGCTTTCCTCTACCACCAAAACCTGGCACATACATGTACTTAAATGACCATAGCTGTTGATAGGACGTAAAACACAAACAAGCCAAAAACCAAAAAAACTAGTTATTCAAAGTTGGATCGGTTATAAGGACGTACACAATGGTTATTTTTCAAATGGAAAATGTCCAAAAATATTAAAATTCTAAACCCACCTTTCAACATATTTGGATACAGAATAGTCATCCAAAAGGAAAAATCTACATAGAAATTTGTTTTAAATGTTCAGCTGCTTTTCAAATTTTTTGAAAATTTGCATCAACTCCAGGTCATCTTATTAGACTTTGAGTATGAGCAACTTAGCTGGTGGAATTACAATTCCTAAATATTAACTTTTCTTCCCCACTATATAATTAGTTTCCAGATTTTCATTAAATGGTTAATGTTGTTAATTTTGTTCCACCAAAGACCCCTGGGAGGCCCTGGCCCCATTTACTGTTCCACCAAAGACCCCTGGGAGGCGCTGGCCCCCCTATACACCTGAAATCAGGTCAATGTGTTTCCTATATAAAGCAGGGTTATTTGTAGACCAGACAGACTCATGTCATAACATGCTGTATATCAGTGGTATATTATTTATATACATATGTACATTATGTATACACACACCAACAATATGTAGGCTATGTGCAAGTGTATGCAAGTAGTACACTTAGTTTACCAGGCAGTACACAAAGTTTATTATGTGTGCCCCAGATAGATTCTATGTGTAGATACAGGTAGGGAAGGTGAGAAACATAGAACATGTTAGATACAAGTGGGTCAGGTGGGAATGTTTCAGGTAGAAAACCTGTCAGGTACACTGCCTACTTCAGTGCACTTGAATTACGTGGTGTTTGATGTTTGATGGGGCTGAAGGTTGACAAGGTTGTGTCGGTCTTTGTGTGGATCTTGTAGGTTGCTAGTTTTAATGTTGCCTTCTATGAAAAGCAATTTTTACTGTCTGTGTAATCATTGTCAGTTATTTTTTGTAAAACTTTAGTACTTTCTGTCTGTCTGAAATGCAAACATACCAGTATTTACAATGAAGTCCTTAAATTTGTTCATTAAAAAAACTAATGAAGTTGGATATTAGAACATTTCTATTGAAAATACTCTTGATGTTAACTTTTATAGAAAAAAAACTAGAGTATTGTGAATACACTACTACTACTTTATGTAAATCTGGACTGACCCTACTAAATGGTACCTGGACTGAACGAGATAGCGTTACCTCAGGCTCTTCGTTTCCCTTGCTGCGGCATCCGTCCAGCGATGACTTCTTCTCAATAACCAATAGGTCTTGGGAAATAATATTTGTTCAGTAGAATGCTAGGATAAAGGGCTACCATGTTTGTTCATATTTTTGACCTTGGGTCACTTCCAAGGTCACGGGTGTAATGTTTTCAGCCCACCATCATCTGATGGTGGGCTATTAAAATCACCCTGCGTTTGAGACTGATCGGATAAACAACATGGCCGACAGGCAGCCATCTTGGATTTTGATAGTGAAAGTTTATTATTGCTATTTCTCAAGAAGTACCAGAGAGATCTTTCTCAAATTTTATACGTAGGTTCCCCTTGGTCCTTAGTTGTGTGGGGCAACTTTTGAGACTGATCGGATAAACAACATGGCCGACAGGCTGCCATCTTGGATTTTGATAGTGTAGGTTTGTTACCGCTATTTCTCCGGAAGAACTAGAGGGATCTTTCTTAAATTTTATATGTAGGTTCCCCTTGGTCCTAGCTGTGCAGGGCAATTTTAGAGACTGATTTGATAAACAACATGGCCGAGAGGCAGCCATCTTTGATTTTGATATTGAAAGTTTGTTATCGCTATTTCTCAAGAAGTACCAGAGGGAGCTTTCTCAAATTTTATATATAGGTTCCCCTTGATCTCTTGTTGTGCATGTTATATTTTGAGACTGATCATAAAAACAGTTTTGATTAAAAGAAGAACTAAACAGATCTTTCTCATATTGCAATGATTGATTCTATTTCTTTCACATTAAGTACTTTACTAGTAAATATGTGAAATGACTCACTTTGAAGGTTGGCTTTCATACACATCAGTTTCCAAATAATCAAAAGGTGCATGGGGATGATATCTGGCCAGTAATATGTTGGGATGGATGGTTACCAACTGTGTTCAAATGAATGACCTGGAGACACTTTCAAGGTCGCAACAGTCAAATATGTTAAAATATTCAAACAACTTATCCTGAATAACCCAAATACCTAAGGTGATGATATTTGTCCAGCTGCCTGCAGGGATGAAGGGCTAATCAAATTAGTTCAAATGAATGACCTTGGGTCACTTTTAAGGTCAAATGGGTCAAATGTGTTAACATATTTAAACAAGCCCATTATTACTATATTAAAAAAGGAACGATGTCACCATTTTGTTCAGTATTAATCGGATTGGAGAAGAATTGGTTTAGGGAAGTTCTGCTGTTTTAAAATATATATGTTCACTGAATTTGGAACATTATTGATCTTATAACTGGGTGTAGTAGAAAGCTGCCACTTTGTAATGATCCAGCCTGCTTGGAGATGTTACATCAAGGCTCCCTTATGTAACTGGATTATAAGGGGTGATATAGCTAGAGGTGGTTCACTGTCCAGCCTGGCTATTGCTGGCCAGTGAACAAAAATGTGATTGATGTGTCCGTAATGCCAGAAAACAGCTTCAGTTACTGTCTATTCTTTTTTTCCTTGTGATGACTCATCAGCTGTGTAAATTGCAGCCTGGATTTGACCTCTAAATGACCTATCTATGGCCTATATTTTGGTAAACATATATAAAATGACGCATTAGTTCCTTTTCTTCTCTTGCCCTTTCACACGCTCTTCATATAGACTACAAGGTTGATATATATATTTTTTCTGATTTTTGTTGAAGATAAAAAAATTAATGCAAAAAAGTTCAAACTTGAATTACCGAATGCATTCACTACCCCTTCAGCCAAGTTTAGAGTTTTGAATCTTAATTTTAGACACAGCAGGAAAAAAGTGACGATATTGAGCTTTCATTGTTTTATGATTCTAAATATTTGGTATAATTCTGAAAATTCCCATTTTTAATCAATTTCACAAAACGTCCCATACTCAAATTTGATAAAGTATAGAACATTTCTTATAAATACACTATACACTTTGGGGGGAGGGGGACAGCGGAACTTCCCTAAACCAATTCTTCTCCAAACTGATCACCTCTTAATACTGAACAAAAGTGTGAAGTATTAGAAATAAACAAAGGGCCATAACTTCTGTCTTGTTTTACAGCAAGCCTCTCTGATGAAAGTTTTCAGAAGCAGTCTGTTTTTTACATCGGGTCCTCCAGCATTTTTGTGGCGTTTAGGTCTGTTTGTGACTTTTTGGTACCGACTTCTCTAATGTCAAGGTTAAGCCTAGCAACATGTAAAACAGTTTGTGTGGGAAAGCATTAATCATCAAGGCCTGTCATAAGGGAGAAAATCATTATGTGACATCGACTGTAGAAAAAAAAATGGAATTGCTTTCATCCAGAA